CAGTAAAGTGAAGCCTGTTTATAGGCGATTGGCATCTCCTTCCTCTATTATTTATACAATGGAAAGTATCTATTTATACAGAAGCGCCTCTTGCAATGATTTACGCTGGTGATACATTCTCATCGAGAGTTGTTGTTGTTGTTGTTGTTGTTAATTAACAATACGATAATGTACGGATTAAAAGTGAAAAGAAACACAAAAAAGTAATAAGGTGAAGCTGTTTTCTTTTTGACGGATATGATCTCGTCAGGTAATCTAGGTCCATTCTGCGATGGTCTCCGTAATTATCACGCTTTTTGATGCGATAGGTTAACTTCGCTGATTCAAATTCAGCCATCGACGCCTATATGATTTATCTTTCATGTTATGTATATAAGGATACATTTTTTTTATATATAACATGAAAGTATATATATATGATATGAAACTTTACATCCACATATATATATATAGGAATAAATCTACTTTGTATATATGTACACCGTCTATCGATATGCGTTACAGTACATAGATGATATCTTGAAGAAGGTTTTACGTAATTCATTAGCGTACTACCTTTTTATCGAAAGTTGCTCATTTATCAAAAATAATGAAAGCTCCACTTTTATCAGGATTTATCCGTTGATGAAGTGTTACACAGCATTTAAAGCCCTCTATACGGCAGATTAACTGAAATTCGTTCGTGTTAAACACAACTGTTTATCACAGTATTATAATAAAACGACACTATAAGCATATTATCGTTTGAGCACTTAGCAATAGATCGTAAACTTAGAGCTTAAATGTGACCCTAATTTTCTCAACGGTTTTTTTGTTGTGAATTATCAACATCATATCACCCGTTATCCTGCTCTGTTCGCTACGCGGCTGCTGCTCGTTTTCAGCAAGTGCGTGTACGCTTCTTTACAACCCTTAAGCATAGATAATTATGATTTGTTACAAGACATTTTTCAATGCTGTGTTCTTCGACACGCTGTTGTCACTGAGGGCGTCTTTTTTCGTGCTACAACAATGAAAAAGCACGCTCTAGGAACGATGAATTTTTGAGAAGACTACAACGTTACGTCAATCGCAGATATACTCTCCTTTATGATACCTTCTGGCAGAAATTTCGTCACCTAAGTCACTACTGGGACAGTCCATAATACCAGTGAGAGCGAGGTATCCACCAGACGCCGTACGCTTCAATAATTTTTGAGCTACCCGCCGGTAACCACGTTCGTCAAAACAAACAATAACTGCTTAAAACCAGGTCGAAAATGTTTTCATTGGGCGACCGGTATACTTTGTCTCCGGTCGACTCGGCACGTGACCGAGTTGATTCAGGTTGAAGTTCATGTTCATGTCGACCTGATAATTTACTTGGGGAAAACCTGTTACCAGGACAGCTAGTCTCGCCCCCTGTACTTGTATAGCAGTGGAGCCCTTCGCGGGCGCTGAATAATAAACACTGCATGAATATCGCATGGCAGAACGGAGCAAGGTTTGCGGCGATGTCGAATCGCCTGAACAGACGTACCTTCAGCTACAATACTCGACGCGATACTCCAATTCACACAGGCGGATTTTCGCATTAACCATTTGTAGACCTCCTTCCAGTTAGATGTCCGCAGCCAAACCGAAAAGGACGTCGACGGAGCGTAAGAAGCGGTAAAGTCGCGCTAGAAACTCCTTTAACTGAGGTTTTTGTTCGTTTTTGAAAAATACCGTAACAGCGAGTCCTTCGTCCACAACGATGATGGTTGACGGCCATGGTTTTCAAGCTGAGTGGCAGATAACTGGCAGCTCTTTCTCCATAGTTCTCGGGGTCTTACTGTGGGCATCCTTTCCTGCGGCGCTAGCTTGCGGTTCGACTTGCCAACGCTTGCATTTATGGCCGACGTTGCATCGGACAAGGCCAATAGTCGGGTGGTCAACTGAACGGCCATTGGCCAAATAAACTTTCTTCATTCATTCCAACGTCTTACCTTACTGCGCAGAGAAAGCAGAACACGGGGAATGTAAAAGTTGCTTTTCGCCTTAGGACCACCAGCGAAAGGCTAGCGGACAAGCCAGCGATGTTCTGAGGCTTCGCTTGAAGCACGCGAAGTGTGTGCGTATTCCGTCTATAGTATCCGTAAAGTTACTGAAAAACTAATAATTACAACAGCTATTCGAATCGCATTTTTACGATTTCTAATAGGAGATGTAAGTATATAGTAATTATCATGTTTGTTGCCAATATCAGCCAAGTGCAATGCGCTAAACAAAAAAATAAAAAGTTTATATATAGTTATATTACAATACATGTAACTGGCGGTACAAAGTGGTCGCTTGGATCGCATGCGAACAGAGCGGGAAGCTGAAAGGCTTATCGGCGCGACTGCTGTGTGATATTTTGTAGTTGCTTTCAACAAAAGTCAGTCCGACATCATCTAACTGGCTCAAGCAAGCTGTCGATAATATTTATGGCCAAGATTGGGTTAAGACAAGGTTCATTTAGCGCTTGTGAAAAAGAATTTCTGTTGTTTGACTATAGGAGAAGTTTAGTCATCATATAATAACTATGAGTAACACGATCAACTTGATGACATGTTCAATATTAGGATCAAAAGGAACTTTAAAATTAAATCTCAGTTAGTCTATTAGGTTGTAGTCACCTTATACTGGATATGACTCAGCTGTCATAAACTTGCTAATATTATTAAATTAGAGTTTGCTTGATTGAAATATATTTGTTTACGCATATTCGACCTGTTCATAAAACTTTAAGACCTATGCTCAGAGATACAGAGGCTAAAATCTCATCGCCATGATGCATCCTTCATACAATTGTTCACCGTACTCGTATATCTAGATATGCATGGTAGCAATGATACCTGTGACGAAGAGATTTCTACCGAAGAGGTTTGGGCCCTATGATACGACCATACTTCTTGTCTAATGGCCGCATAAGAAGGTAACAACTTCATGAGGATGGAAGGAAGATTCTCGCTGTTAAAGAATCCCCGTTTCATTTCTAGTCACTTATTCTGATACGTTACTTGAAAGCTTTCCTCCTCTTCTAAAGATGGATATTCCGGGTAAAACAATAAACATTTTTGACACCTTCCGTACATTTCGTTACCGAAACGGTTCGGAATATCTCTGTTGTGTACGGTAAAGATACCGGTAAAAAGACGCTCAAGGTTGGTTTGCGGAGTCACAAAGCAATATCCAGAACCTAGAGGATGCCCTCTGCTCTCGCCATCTGAATTTGGTAACAATCATCTAAAGGTACTTTTGAAGGAAGACAACTGTCAGACAATTGGAGGATAGACCGAAAAATATGCTGCAACGACATGACAGTTGTTAAGCACCTCAAACTCTTCGGGTTTATACAAATACTTGAACTTCATAAAAAAAACAGTGTTTACTGCTGCGTTTCAACATATCGCCCGATATCGAGCGTCACGCAATATTTTTACACTGAATCGTCACTGGCGATGGCGATGACGAGTGTCCGTACTTCAACACGAAACATATCGGAATAAATGACTTCTGTAGAGAGACTGAGTTCTAAAATTCAAACGGATCTTCACCCAAAAACAATTGCGTTTGGTATTGACTGATCCATTGCGAATTACTTTCAATGAATCAGACCATTGTTCAGTACGTTTATTTCACTGAGGCGTATCGAGTCAAGCAAGCTATGCCGGAGAGAAGAGTCGATAAACGAGATAAAGTTATTCATTCGGTGCCATGACGACGCGAGGCCACACACGGCCAATATAGTCAAAGCTGCCCCCCTAGATTTCGAATGGAAGATCCTGTCGCACCGTCCACATTCTCCGTGCATTATGCCGACCAACTTTTTCCGCTGACTGGGCAGACACCTTCATGGCCTACATCTCGAAACGAATAAGAACTTGAAGCAAGATTAAAAAATGTCTCTGAGATAATTTTTCGCTACTTTCTGGCAGCACTGCGTACACTATTTAATGGAACGATAGCAGAAAGTTTTGAGCAATGACCAACTTATTAATTAATTATCACAGTAATAAAAAAAAATGTTGTTTTTTTATTCAGTAATGAAGTGCAGGAACTTTCTGTGGGTTGGCGGTATTTTTCTAGCTAGACGGCTTTTTCGGGTGCAAGGAGTCGACTTGGCGTGTGTATCAGCTCATTCGACAGTAGTAAATGGGCTACATTTATTCATACTTACGGTAGGGCATCTTAAGAATGGGTGTATTTTTTCTGATAAGGAAAAATGTAACATGTTTATAATCAAGATGCGTTATCGAAAGATGCGGTTCTGTCACTTTCGTTCTGGAAATTTCGATGTGAAAGATACTATGATGGTTTACAACAAGGTTACAACAGCAACCTGCCAAAAAAAGATTGACCGCGGCTAGTGGACCACGACAACGCTAGACCACGTATATCTGTAGCTATCAGAGAAGAATGGATAGAAATTGGATAATAAGTCTTAACGCATCCGCCATATAGCCTGGACCTTGGATCTTCCGACTATCATCTGTTTCGGTCTCTTTGGTGGTGTTAATTTATTGTAAATAGAGGAATACAAATATCATTTGCTAGAATTCTTTGTCCGTAAAGTACAGAAGTTCTAAGGTAATAGGATTGTGGTGTTACCAGAGAAATGGCAGAAGGTCATCGATCAAAATGGCGCATATATAACTTAGTAACGAAATTCTAAAGTATCCAAAGCTATTTGCCTTAATCTCAGCTTACAACGCTCAATGCTTGATCGCTTCCCAATATGCTAACACCAGAACGAACAATATTCGAGTTTTGTTGTGGGTTTATCAGCAAGTCGACTTTTCTTACATTGTACGACTCTTTATTTACTGCCTTACTCACAATACTATTGCGAAGAAAATTTCAGCCTATAAGTATCTTGGCAACTTACACTGGAACTGTTACCTACGACGGCAACAAATTGTACTATTGCCTCTCCTACGACTTGTCGTAATGCTCGTTATCAAAACAGCGGCACGAAAAGAAATACAGAAATAATCTAACAAAATTATCGCACGCCTCTTTATTTGCCTTTTATTTTTCTCTAATTGACAGTTTATACATTACATCTATATATGAACAAGCATGTATCAATTGCACACTTTCGCTTATGTGAACAAAAATGATTGAAGTATTTACAAATACAATCAAACAAAAACACGTGATCTAATCTGTGTTTAATGGTATGATTACAATTATCTATTTACTTCTGTTTCTTATCTGTCCTGCTTTCTTTCGTTCACTTGTTCCCTTTTGCACGACTATCACCCCTCTTCATCATCATCATCATCATCATCATCATCATAACTTAAGCAATCCATGAATAAATACTGCCTTAGGAGACGCTTCAGCCGAAGTGCATCGGGTTATTCCCATTCATATTGAGTCGTCTAATTAGTTAACTAATACAAAAAAAAAACATCAACATCAGTCTTCTGCATGCATTTCTCTAGCATGTAGAAAGCTCGCTAGATGTATTATCATAACAATTTGAAATAACAGAAAATAGCCATCATGACGAATATTCACACTTGTTGAAACAAATCTTTCTGAGGGAGGGAGTGTTGACAATGGCGCCGTAGCGCTTATGTCTCCCTAAACACGAGCTCTCTATATGTCACAGAGTACATTTGATTGGAGAAGGGAAAACTGGAGGATCGTCACTGCTACATGATAGCTATGCAGATATATATATATATATATATATATGGCTCAATTATTCTGAGTAAGGCATTGTTAGATTTTGAGCAATTTTCCCACTGCACGCTTCAGTATTCAAGTAGATCATTTATTTGTTATTATAAAATGTTCCTTTAATTTCTTTTCTTTGCTCGTGTCACGCTTGCGTTAGAAAAAGTAGCGCCTTGCGAGCCAGATGCCACCGTTTGTCGGACACCTGTATCTCACTATGTGTACCTACAGCTTTATTTACTTATTATCTTGGAATATGGCCTCTGTGTTGGAGCCTTTTGGACGGAATTGATGGTAACAGCCATTTAGCTTATCGAAAACCACTAAGCTTAAGCTAAGTAGGGGGAAATTTGATGAGTTATTTTCGTCTGGGGAAAAGCTGACCACCGTTACTGCTGTCGACGCGTGCAGCGATATCAGTGGATAGGTTTTCGGTGCTAATGGAGTAATGTGCCTTTAAGTACACTGAGAGATTTTACATATGATTAATTTTGGTTAAGTACTATTACATAACACAGATAGCATTTTACCGTTCAATTGTACGTAAACTAGAAAAAGGAAACTGATCAATGAAGCGTATAACTTTGACTGAATTAACCATGATAATAGAGCATTACAGAGTGAGGCTCACAAAGCTTCGCTCTAGATAGACACGACTGCTAGCAACTAAAATGAATAGTACACCAAAAAAAAAACACAAGCATCGTTCAACCTTCAAACATACACTTTGTACGTATTTTGCAAAATAACGTTATAGGGCAACCGAAACGTGGCAAACTAAAGTACGTATGTAGAATGAACGTACCGATAAACGAGAAAGACAGCAATCAAACTGATGAGGATAGCCGTACCGATGAGTACCAAGGCGGTCTGTTTAGCATAAATAGGAAGTTGTCGAAGAATGCTGAGCTGAAAGACAGTTGGTGGAAGTGCTTCTAGTTGGAGCTCTTGCCAAAACAATGGGATGGTGCCGTCGAATATTGTTCCGAGATTTCTGAAACCGTAACCCGTCAGCAAGGCAAAAAGAAACGACTCTCTATATTAAAAAAAGAGTCTAATCTCCATAACGTCAGCTAAGTCAAACATGTGCCAGTTGGAGATAACTATATGAGTAAAGCAGTCATACCCTATGCCCAATGGGCACATCCGAACCGGCTACAAGCACCGGTCAATGACTAGTTTCAGGTGCTGCAAAAACTCGGTTTCTTTTACATATTTCAAGTAATTCTAAACAGATGAATCAACTAATTCGTTTCCATATTATTTAATGAAAAAACACAATTCATCTAATTTCTTAAACTACGAATGCTGGAGACTGACTAGCAAAAGGTCTATTTTATTGGCTATCGATCAACTCGTAATCAACTACGTACCCTAGGCCATGTACGCGCTCCATGACGACTCCCACCTGAAATCGCGCTCTTACCGAAACCGTAACACCGGTCAAGGGGTCGCTTTCGAGATAGAACTGATGAGCTTCCTTTCGTGGATTTAGGCCGATCACGGAATTCTGATGGGCCTCATCAGCAAACAAATAATGCGGAAATGAAATGACGAGCGGAGCGCCCTTTTTGCAAGGTCCAATGTCCATCACACCTGGAAGCATAGCAGTTAATAGTCCTGGGTTGTTAACTCGACTACTAGTGAAGCACATGCGCACAAATGTAGATTCTTATTTAAACTACTCGACAACCCATGCAAATGTTATACTAATAAAGTAGTACGAACAGCTCAAAGATATATACAATTCAGGAGTTATTTTCTGAGCCACTAAATAGATACTCTAATTATAATCGCTTACTAAATAAAGCGTAATATTAGCGCTAAAGCGGTTGACTTTAGTTGAAAACGAAAAGGTACCAATATCTATGCACGTACGTCAAGGAATGCAATGATGTGTCGTAAAGACACCGCATTTATACTATTCTTGGGCGTATTACCGCTTTTGAATTTCCTCGAACCAGCGAAACATGGATCGGGACCGGAATTATTGAAGGTCTCTCTGCCCGCGACGAAGCGCAAGGTAGAAAGGCCTTCGTACACGCTCACGTTCTCGTAACGCAGAGGTAACGAACGACAAATATCGGGAACAAAGATGAGAAGCGGATTCTCGCGCGAACTCATCGGCGGCCGAAGATGACCCATAGTGCCTTTTATTTTGTTGCATTTGTGCTGCGGCCATGTTGTGAGTTCTGTGTGCCCGTTAACGACGTTGACACGATTAATCTTCTGACGGTTATCCTCTCCGGTGAAGATCGTCACTATGCCGTCATCCGTATTGTTTCGATCAACGAAATAGCCAAAACTGCCCTGTACGTCAGGTTCGGCTGCTAGCACGTTGGTGAAGATGCGAAGACCAGTACCCAAAATGGTTCCAAAACCTGAATCCTCTTTTTTGCCGGCTTCGACAGCGTTTGCCACCAGGATAAGGAAGTCCGGATATCCTAGACAAAAAAAATACGACGTGCTCATTTGTCAATAGTGGTTAAGTTAGAATTTGTCCAGCCTGATGACTGGTTATGGCGATGAGATGGTGATCAATTATCTGTTATGCTTACTTACTGCACCGAATATGTTATGTTTAAAAATGTAATAAACAATACTAAATAATGATGACGGTGATAATAATAATAAATAAATCCTGACAATCTAAGTGTAATGAACGTTTGATGATTTCGTACCTTCAAACGTGAGTTCACCAACTTGCTTTGCATGCATTACCGTCTGCCCGAGTCCATTCAAAGTAAAGGTAGCTGTACTTTTAGCAACTGTTCCACCGTCCTTAAGCCGTTGTGCAACAGCCTGCAAAGGGTCGTGGACATGATGAAAAAGCTAGATTTCGCTATCGATTTGAAACAAGAAACAGTTATGTATGTAGCTTAGTATTCCGAGCAAAAGAATTAGTAAACAAATCGCTCGTCCATATGAGCATATGTCACAGCCGTTGCTATTCACGTTTACCGATTCGAACGTTATACATCAAGTCTAGAGTAATTTCATCAAAGCTATTTAATCTCACTGAAAAATGAATAGAGTGTAACAACTACTCACGGCATAGGGTACATTAACGGTAGTTATTATATCATTATAGCCGCCTATACTCTCCTCTCGAAGGAACTGGTACCACTTTTTTTCCCTATAGCTCAGCGTACTATTTTCATGGAACTTGATATCAAATTTCTCCATATAGATCCGCCATGTGTAGGGTCCCAACTCATTGAGAATTGGCTTGTCGCCCAATTGGACCTCAACCGGATTCGTGATGTTGAAGAAGTATACGCGCATACGCATCCTCAGATCGGATACTCTGTAACCGTGTCACATGAATTAAGTAGTACACAGAAATAAATCAGGAGAATACGCCTGGCAAACTTTAACGTTTCTCGATAATCTTACATCCAGAAACATCCATATTCTCAAGAATATGCGCGCGGTCATTAGAAAAATGGTAGGAATTGCTTAAAAAAGCCGAAAAAACAATTACCTCCAGGCCGGAAACACGAGACCGCTAGGACCGAGATGCATCTGGTCCTTAAGGGCACGATCAAAGAACGCATCGAACTGGCTCTGAAGAACGACGGCTGTCACTGTCATAATGAATGACAGTATGAAAAGCAGCAAAGCTGTAAAAACACAGGAAAATACCGCGCCGGCCCGTTGTATCTTATTTGTGTGTTGTTACTTTACACGTCGTCTATGTACTGGAATAAATAGATACATTTAAAAACCAAACTACTCAAACTGTAAATGAGCTCGTCACTTAACGCTACATTGGAGTTTGGGTTAGAGCCCTAATCAGCCCTATTTGTACTGTGATGTCCGGTAACCAGGTGGTCAATGACTATCACTGAAGCCTCAATATAGGCTAGGACATTTGGGTAAATTAAATAAATAAACCATCTTATGCAGATTCTTCAGTTTTTTCATTCTGGCGATCGAATTGACATGTATAGATCACCGCTCAATCCCACTTAGGGATGTATGAAATGTCTTCGGTTCCCCAGATACTTGTTTATATTGCAGTACTATTTTTGTTTCTGCGGTTCTATGAATTTTATAGCTGACGCCTATATTTCCGTTTTATTCCTGCATTACAGGATCGGATGACGTGACGCACAGTGTGCGTATTGATACCTTTCTCGATGTCAGTTGTCGGCTTATCTATGAGCACCAATGTTCTGGAGGAACCTCCTTTTTCGATTCTAGGATTGCCGTAACTCAGAGCGATAGTGCGATAACAACAATAACATGTAAGCTATATGTCAGGTGGCGATACAAGCCTCCAAGCAGGACTTTCGATCTTCATGACGTTGTGTCAATCGGTAGAATCGCTAAAATCGATTTTTCTCTTTGTTTTACCAAGTACATGTTACCAAAAATAAATTTATAATACAGCAATATGAGAAAAAATTAATGACAAATTTACTTTACGAAAAATCATGAATGCCATATGTTCTTGAAAAAAGTTATTATACTAAAGATAAAAGGCTATATATAAGGTATCTTCGGCACCTTAAGGTTACGCGGTCATACAACCTTATCGTCGTTGATGGGTGGCTACGACAGGCCAACGCCTTTTTAGCGGTCGCAGACGATGAGCCTCTAACAAACGCGCATAGTGTAATCGGAACAAGAACATTTTCCGCATTGCCCTTTCATATTTTCCTTAATCCACTACGCTTTGCTCTTCTTAGAGTGTTTATACTCATGTTCGCTGAATTACTCAAAAGCATACCATATAACCCAACGGTCGCTTAAAACCTACGCTCTAATATGATATTTTTTTGGTGAACTTGTCAATCGTAACTTACAACAGACTTTGTAGCTGCAACAACAGCATTTGCTCGGGGTTTTCGTCTTTTCTTTTTGCTTTCCATTCTGAAGATCTGCCGTCATCGCATTGTATCTGCAAATTTCAATGAAAGAGAAAAACATATTCAAACACTGATGTACCAAACAAACCTTCGGTCGTAGTCGTTTTTTGACATTGATAATTAAATGCTGCGAATACTGCATAAACGCTACGTTGCCTAAACGCCTTTTAAAAAACGTACAATACAAATTGTTGTTGAGCACTGTTCATCAGATGCCATAAGGCATCAAGCCAAAATATTTACTTCATACAATATGCTTTTTATCTTCGAAACATGTAAATCCCACCGGCTCCCTGACTTACTGGAAGTCCTATTCCTGTAGGAGCTTGTTCAATAGACAGCATGTAGAAGAGACGTTGACGAAAAATTATGATCCATTATCAGTCAACTGCTATGCCAGACTGCATTTACATCCGACGGCTTAGAATTATAAAGCTAACAATAGTCATATGTGATATGATCAGTTTTTGCCTCATTTACTATTATTTAAGTTAGTGTCCTTAAAGGGCAATCCATGGTAGGTAAATTCATCCTTCGTGTAAATTCGAAAGAGTGTCTGAAGCTATTACTGAAACAAGGTCTATTGTTTGAATTCCTTCGAAACAGGTGACAGACTTTTCTGGTTCTTCGATCAAATACAAGATACGCAATGGCTAAACATCTCATAGCATTTGTAATCCCTACAACAGTCAACTAGCTTTCGTCGTACGACGCTTTCAGGCGAAGACAGTCTATGAAATAACTTCAATGAAGTAAACAAATAAGCATTTTATCTTATTGAATCTTCCTGTAGCTGTCGTGCAAGTTGCCTAACGGTATGGGCTGACTAGTTAAGATATGGTGGTGCAAAATGGTTAAGTAAGTTCTCCCGCTTGATGTGATAGTTTGCAAGTTTCATCTTGTCGCTCTAACAGGGTGCGTATCAAGCCGTCATTGAAGATTCTACAAAAATCGATCCAATTTGACGAGTTCCATTCATCTGCATAACATTGGCATGATCAGCAAGCATCACAACTATTCATCGATGACAATAAACATCAAACGCCTCCGTGTCATATTGCCACTTACTTTAATTTCCTTTAGCCGTAAGCCAGTACCTTATCCTTCACAGACGTATCTGTGTGAATCTGTGGACGCGTGTGCATGCCGAACTACGACAGTAGTACTCGCGCACGCTCAGACTCAATTGACATTTTTCAGAGAATATCCGACCGGGAAGATCGCGACGATGATGATCGAGGAAACCAACTAGTAAGCATAGAACTACAGGCTAGGGAAAATAAGAAAAAACTGCATTGGCTTAGTCGAATAGGAGAGCGAGAAAGAAGCGGAGCATTGTTAAATCACGCATAGCCGATTGGCTTCATAGCAACGAGCGTTGTAGATACATGCAGTAGCGAATTAAGGGACGGAAGAAGATCACGAAAAAATGTCACCGTTTTAAGACATTTCGTATTAAGGCAACAACGGGCCTTTCTAAGCGCAAAGAGACGTCTTAATTTTAATTCGTGATCGAAAATTTCGAAGCGGAAGGAACAACGCTTCGTTAGCTTCCGGTCGTTGTTGCCCTCTAAAAACGTTTGCAGATTAATAAATTGTCTCTTGTTTACAACGCTGATGTCATCGCAGTTGATCTTGTTTTGGATGACGCAATCGTAGAATAGCAAAAATCAGCTTTAGAAATCTTGCGAACAGAAAACACCTTCGCTGAGCCATCGGTACTCACGAAATATAGGTCTGATCGCAGACGTCGAATGGCAGCCGGGAAACAGAAAGCAATCACCAAGTTAACTTTCTTTGGAAGCAAAGCAAAGCGACCTTGGGTGCGGATCACCAAATCTTTCCCACTACTTGCCGAATATTTTAGCGATGATTGCCGGCCGGCCATTTTTAAATACACATCAAAAGCAAGATGAATGTTTCAAGTGGTACATCTTACGATATCTATTGTCTATACTTTCCTTCATTTCCTGCAACACGCCCAATTTACAAAACTCATAACTAGCTATGCTGTTTCACTTCCTTGTAGAGATTAAAAAGACTAATTTACAATAAGACATATGGTTCAGAGAACATTGTTTATGCGACTAGAGAATTCCATATGATAGTAAAGTATCAGTCACCTAATAAACAAATAGATACTACCTGAAATTGGAAATATGGTCGTGAAGCAACAACGAAAGAAAGTTATCGCTATAACGCAAATCGCCTCCTCGACTGACAAAAAGGTTCAGATTAGCGACTTTAACGAATTTCTTCAATGCGTCACTGCAACCTCACGGAGAGGTAGTGGCTGCATCTGAAGACGGTCACACAAAACGATTTCCACTTAGCAGGAGATATAGATAGAGGCGGCAGCAGTGAGGAAAGGTATTAGCTATACGATATAGAATATCAAAAGATGGTCCAAAGAAGCATTGCCCATTCGAACCGAACGTGAACGTCGTCTAAAATCAGTTCTGAGATTGCTTCCCATCTTCACCGCATTACGCACACTGAGGAAAATTCGTTCCTCCAAATGAAATTTACATCAAAGATAACCGTAAAAATCGAAGCAGACATGGTTCTCTTAACGCCATATGGCTGCTACATATAGAATCTAAAATCAGGACTATTATTTACGCGAGTACATCAGTCACAGTCGCACCGTCTGTGTCACCATCGAAGGCGTGAAGTTCGCCATTAATGTTTTTACCCGCAATATGCATGTAATACACATTTCTTTATGAAATAATTTTCAGTTTCCAGATTTCTAACCACTGAAGTTCCTCGCTAGAGGGCGGCGTCACTGTGCAAATACAGACGAACGTAAAACATTGTTTAGATCTAGATAACAAATGAGGACAGGTCCAACTCAGGCTCTTCGAATTTTACTTCCTAATTTAATGCATGACTCAATCTTACAGGCTCGCCTCCACCATAGAGAAAGTACTACAATAGATTCGTTACCTACGTCTGGTGTGCAACTATCGTACAAGTAAGTGACCGCTACCTCTAGTGATGAAACAATTCATCGTAGTGCTATACTCGCCAAATATCTTGCTCAGTCAACGACGCATATTAAGAATACTTATCCACACATTACGTAAGTCAGTCCCCCGGCGCACCTGATGCACTGTAGACGTTTCCGTCGTCACGAAGTTTCGTTATAATGCCCACACCACAATGCAGAATGGATTGATTGGATTCTGTGCTATTGCTGTAAAAGACCGATTTGACAAATTATAGTACTTTTAACAAATAGGCTTGATGTGCTTTTTCTCGACCAATTCAAAATGGTCACTCACCAAATACATGTGGAACCCCAGAAGTCCATCCCCCCTACCCTCTTTCGGGCCTGCGCACAGAGCGAACTTGAAGTGGCCATGAAGAAACGATAACAGCTTTGCTGAAATTTGGTAAACCGGTGATCAAATTATTCAGAGTAGCGCAATTCAACCCATTAACATACTACCAGCACATCTAAACGTCATTGCCAAAGGTTATCGGCAAGCGATAAGGCGAGTAAACACAGAAATCGCCTCGTCCTACGCTACGGATCCGTACGAAAAAAGAACCAGTAGATGACAGCGACCTTCGTTGCGTGAACATATACCATTGGACGAGAAACATCCACAAGCATGTAAAGCAGCACGTAAAGAAGCGCCTATTGACTTTTTCCGTGGACTATAAATCTTGCCACGTACTCATCCGCTAGCAGGTGTAGCAAATGATTCTTCGCCAACGGGAATCAGCGCGACAGCAATAGCGGTGAGTTTCCACAAACGTGCTATACCGGAGCATGCCTAGACAGACGCACCGTAGTCTGTCAAAAATGATAGCTTATACAAATAGAAAAATTACCTGGTACATATGTATTATTCTTTATGAGCATAGTTGATTGTTATTGTGTCATAGTAGTCGTTTACGCGTAGTCTTGCGGCCGTCTTCAGTCAAATCGAAGCACTAAACAGCATTGATTTCACGATCGCCGCTCGATGCATCGCCATTGCCACAATACGACAGGACAGTGAATAGGTAAATAGCGCAGTGGAATAGTGATCTTGACGCGCCGATGGGCGAAGGACACCTATGAAACTTCAAGTATTGCGATCGTTCTCTGTTATCATATGTGTTTATATATAGCAAGTATAATGATAATCGTTCAAGTACTCTGAAACAGGTCATATGTGCAATATAAATACCGTAATATAAACACTAACTGGGTAAACCTTCCGTAAGGCTTGGGCTGTACAACCATACTGCCCTGCACTAGAATTATACTTGCTCTATCTGCTTGAGTACGATGTCGACTATAACGTTTAAAGACTATTTGTCAATGCCATAAACGTCTCTACGTTTAGCGAAACACTTGTTGGGAACATCTACGCTGTGTTCACCAAATATCCACAGGAAGGGTAAGATGCTACGCAGGACACGTGCCTTTCACCCACGAGTGTCGGCGTCCGTCGTTCAACAGTGTTGCCTAACTAGTCTTTTGAAATGTATATGAGTCCTTAATTTCGCTAGGAGCAAAGTGATACATTCACAATAATTAAAAATGAATGTGTACACTGGGCCTGCGTGGATCGAACACATATCTGCGATAATTATAGTTACAGCCGAACGAGTTCGTAGCTTCGAGGAATTAGTCAGTGCAAGTACTCGTCCGGAACTACGGAAAGATTCACGTCTAACTTGAGCGGCTACTGCGTAACAAAACGCCGAACTAAGCCCGATAATATAACGACAAATGCCTAAAAACGATATCTGCCAAAAAAGAATAGCACCTTTGAATTGAATGTTCTGTTTCAGTTATTGTGCATTTATCAAGATGGAAACATAGCTGCAGGCTTTACAAAAACCGCTCATCATGAGATTGGATTTAGGTAGGGCTCGATTCTTCATTCGTTTGCGACGATAAATTCAATTATTCAGCGATGGGAGTGCTAAAGCGAGCTACATTTACTACTCCTATATTCAAACAACTATATAGAAAAGTACCTAACGAACTAACTCTCTCGTCGAAACTGCAGTATAAACGTTAATTCCTGCTCAGTTGACTCATTCTACACCGCTAAACGCCGGCAAGAAGAGCGCGACGCTTCGAAATGCAATTGGTCTCAGCACTTACTTATTTCTAGATGTCTGCCTGGATGTTTACGTGCCACTATTACAATAGCCTTCGCTTTCATCTAAACGCTGAATTTTTTTGCGCTCTCGCACATCACCCCCACACTTTGCCGAAGTCCTATCAACTCCCATCATTTTCTATCCCTTATTTATCCTCTTGACTGATAATACGTTAGCATTACTCCAAATTTTACACTATCCACAAACAGTTCGTGTCTTGTATTACGTTCTCGTTCAAAGGAAGTGGCTAACATTGCATGCCAGTTTCAGTGACGGCATTAGGGGCGAGACGCTGAAAACGTGAAGTTGTGCAAAGTAGCGAAACAAGCATAGGTAAAATCGTTCTCCTGAAGTTAGTCACTCGGTGGGTCAGAGTCAGCTTGTTTGCGCGTCAGTTCATCTGCTGTGACGCTGTTGCTGTGGCCGTCTGCCTATCATCGTCATGGTAGAGAATTTGCTTAACAGTAGAGGCTAGAATGATGTGCGCCTAGCTGTACATTTTGAGCGAGAAGGGCCGGCAGTCCCCGGGATGGGCCTTCACTGCCCACTGCGGACGTCGCTAAACACTTGTGTATTACAAATAGACGCTTTCCAGAACAACGCATTGCAGCAAACAGCCTGCGATGCCACGCTCTCAACGACAGCTTCAAATGACGATTGTCGAAGGGACGCTGATGAATGGATTCGCCTTGTTGCAGCGCGACGTGATTGCTACACATCGTGCGCGTGCCGTTGAATAGGCATACGACAACAATATAAGCAAACAGAAAAACAAACTCGTAAAGCGAAACTAGGAAGCTTTACGCACATATTTGATCGTTCTCGTCTCACCCATTGCTATAGAGATCTTCTACATAAAGCGCAATAAGTCCTCGTCAGACTTAACCTATTAGTACAACTGGGTCAGGTACAAGACCCCTTGAATGGGCAGGCTGCAGCCAGCATGTCAGCTTCGAGATGGCTAAATAGACACTGATGTTGTATAATCACATTGATACAATGTATATCATAACCATGTATAAAAAGTTATATAAACGGCATCAAATAGAATAATCATATATTATGATATTTGACAGCGGTATAGAATTCAAAAATACCAGGAAGGAAAAAAATTACACTTTTATATGGTATAATCTTTTATACGCACGTCAATGAAATATATTATGTTCTACTATATACGTAGAGTAAAGCGTTCTCATTAAAGAAAGCTTTGGGAAGCTGTTCAGCGTAACGAGCATGCGTTAATTTGTTGTTACTAGTAACCAGTTCTTTGCAGAAAATATCATTTTTTTTAATCCGAAAAAGGTAAAACAAAGCAACAGATCTTAAAGTTTTAGACTTGAAAGGTTCAAAGCGCTTGCTCTGATAGGGCCATTTTGAAGGGTCGAATATAAAATCTCAGGTGGGTTGTCCAGACAAGCTGCACCGGCTACTCTTTTTGGGCTTCTTGTATTGATTAATCGTTTTAAGAAGCCCTTGTCTTTTTTGACCTCTGGCCTGCTATCAGGCCAAAATTCAATGACACTTCGGGTTTCGTTGTATGCAACGTATTTGAGCTGGGCTTTAACAAGTTAACACGACCCAATGATGCTTAACACACTGCTAGTTCAACATAATAGATTACAGAACAATATGGTAAAAATGATTAGTGCACATAACAGAACAAAAGTATAAGATGCACCTCTCATTCTTCTTGTTCGAGCTGTGACCATCCGAAAAATTGATCTAAAGGTATTTCCTGGGTCGGTGCTACTTGACCGCCTCAATCAGTATCGTCGACAGGTCGAGACTACCTTGGTTTTTCGTCGCAATTAGAAATATTAATTTACATGATAAATGAATACACTAGACTCAGCTGGACTTGTCGCAGTAAACTTTGTGGCCTTATATAAGTTCAGTGCTGCTCATGGAATGACCTAAATTTAGGGAATTTAGATAGCTCGCTTACGTTATCGGTCATGCCACCAGCAAGAAATTCGCGTTTAATCGTCTACCGTATCAACCTCTTTCGAAAAAGATATATATAATTTCAAGACAACCCCCTGCTGCAAGATAAGCTTTAGTTAATCATTAAATAAATCCTAGGTGTGCGTTGAAACAGCGTATACCATGTAGTAGGGACAACTGCTTCTGGGCAACCAACCTAGGTTTCCGTATATAAATGTTATTAGAATATCTGCCGGTATGGTAGAGTGATTGATTTCGTCGTATTCGATTCGTGTGCTTGCCTTGACAAGAGCCTAGTCGAAGACTTGGTAGGACCTAGACCTAAAAATCGGACAAACATAGTACATAAGGAACACAAGAATAAATGCACGTAATAATAAAATAAAATAAATCTAACAAATATTGCGCTAATTGTAACCAATCGTTCCTGTTAGAAGTGTTTTCATGATTCTTTTTTCTATGTCAAAAAGGTTCCGCACCAGCTGTTATGCTGCCATAACGCGTGAACAGGTTATCAGTCGGTTGTGCCATATTTGATAGACGATAACTATGTCTAGCTAGGTAAACAGACAAAATTATCGAGTGATTAATAAAAATGATGAAAACTCGTTCAAGTTTCTTGTTTTTTTATTTTATTTTATATTATATTAACTATCTCGTTTGACATCGGCTAGCTCGCTTCAATGATATCATCCATTAAAATTGGACTTGAAATTTCATTTTTCTTTCTTTTGCTTCTCTTTTTCATTTTCATATTTGATGTCCAGTACTTAGTTCGTTAAACATTGCTTCTGACAGCTCGACATGACCTGTCTAGCGGTTGCTGCATGTACAGTCTTATTTCAAAAGCGTTTCTACTTGACCTGAAATAAGTCAAGGGTTCATATCAATAGAATCAAGACCTAATCTCAAGTAATTTGTAATATACTAATATAATAATAACAATAATGAGGCCAGTCTGCATTTTCCTACTCTCTTAGACATAACGTAGTTCTTAGCTTAATAAAACTGAGTGCTCCACTCTTCCCTTCCGTCACCGCCCGATATAAATGTACGCAACGCGCTAAAGGCAATGAACATTACGCCCAGTCATTTTTATCACAAAGGTGCCTACTATGACGACTTATGTAAGTTCGGGTAAATGTACGTTAGCGCCACCATGACAATCGTGATACAAAGCTTTTTATCAGCCGTGAAGCACGCCCAGT